TGAAACTTCTTTCATACTTGAGGCTTGAAAAACCTTTGGTCTAGATGGGCGGGGTATAAATCTAATAAAATAAAAATAAAATAAATAAAACCCTTTTTAGTGTACCAATTAGCCAGCTCTCCAGTTAAGCGTTAAGATCATCAGGGGAGGCCTTTCTTTTCGTCCCATCACTCTTCCAGGTACATTTGGTGGGGACACAGTAGAGAACCTTCTCTGTCTCTGCTCCCAAACTCTGGAACTCCATCCCAAGAGAGGCCAGGCTGACCCCATCTTTGCTGTCCTTCCACAAACAAAGACCTTTCTCTTCAGAGAAGCTTTCCCTTAAGGGTTATTTGAGAAGGTTTTTTTTTAAATGGAGTGTTATGCCTTGTTGCTTTTAAGTATTGATTTGTTCAACCTTTTTAGTGTGCCATTTGATTCTTTTAAATATTTTTATACGTACTGTACTGTTTTTAGCTTTAAAACATCGCCTTACAATGGCGTAAGCTTCCTTGGTTTATTTTTTATGGAGAAAAGCAAGGTAAAAATATTTTAAATAAATGAAATAGTTTTTTTTAATGGCAGAGACTTATGGAATTTCAGGCGATCCAGTCCCAAAAGTCACCTAAAATCGCCCAGGGAGCCTTCTTGGACCAAGAGAAGAGAAACCATGAAGGCAAACACAGAGGTCGCTCCACTAACACCTTTTAGGCTTTTCTCCATGCCCGTCGGTCAAGAAGCAGAAAGGAAGACAACACATGCACACACACACACCCTTTTCTCCTCAGGCTCACGGCTTCTCTGGAGCCGCCCCAGTGTTTTATGGGAAGGGTAGTTTTGATTCACAATCGGACTCTACGGGGGGGAGCCTCTCACCTGGGAGCCCAGCCCCATTCGCGGCGGGCAGGGGAAAGGGTCCAGGCTCCCCATCCCTTTTTTCCTCCCCAAAAACCCGATTAGATCCTTCCCAGTTTCCTTCTATATGAGCCTCATGGCGCAGTGGTTAAAACGCTGTACTGCAGCTAAAACTGTGCTCACGACCTGGGGTTCAAATCCCAGATAGCCGGCTCAAGGTTGACTCAGCCTTCCATCCTTCGGAGGTCGGTAAAATGAGTACCCAGCTTGCTAGGGGGGGGGGGCAATGTGTAGCCTGTATAATGAAATTGTAAACCGCCCAGAGAGTGCTTGTAGAACTATGGGGCGGTATATAAGTCCAAAAATAAATAAATAAAATAAATATAAAGGTTGAAAACTTGTTTTCATTCCGACCGCATTTCCTTAATGTCCTCATTAAACGGCTTAACCTTTAATGAGGGACAATCCGGCGCTGCCCTGCTTTACGGCATCCGCAGCATCGTTTCTCTATGAATAACCCGACCGTTGCCCTGTCAGCTTTTGATCTGGGCGCGTTCCCGCCGGCCACTTGGGCTGAAGAGGCGCTGATGACCCGGAGTGATAAGCCGCCCACTGGCCCTATAGCGGAAGAGGGCGGGTCCTCCGCCCTCTCCCTGATTCGCTGCTCCGTCAAAAAAAAAAAAACCCATCCCCGCCCCTCGGGGGCTAACCTGGGAGGGGGGTTGGTTCTCGGTCTCAGGCGCCGCCGCAGCTTCTTCTAGCCGGCAGGGAGCGAAGGGCGCGGAAGGGCTGCCATGGCCGCCTCCAGCAGCAGCCATTATAGCAACAGTAGCAGCAGCAGCAGCCGTCGGCCCGATAACAATGGCTGCGGGCTCAGCGGACAACCTCAGTCGCCGCAGCAGCAGCAACCGCAGACCCAGACGGGCTTCCGGCGGCGGAAAAGCCCTGGCGCTTTGGCCACGGCCTACCTGGTCATTTATAACGTGGTCATGACAGCCGGGTGAGCCAGCGAGGGCCCCGTGGGCGGGAGAGGGCCGGGGCCGGCTAGGCTAGAGGGGCGGCTTCGCCTCAGGGGCGGTGGGGAATTAAACTCGCTTCTCCCCGTTTCCGAGCTCTCGGCTGGGCCTCTCGCCCCCCTCTTCCCCCTTTTGCCGCTTCCTCTCCCTTTCTGCGGGCTGCTTTCCTCCACTCCCGCGTCCTTCGTTACTTGGTTTAGTCGGTCGGGTCACTCCTTTTATGACAGGAACTTTAATCCGGAGTGAATGTTGGCTGTTGGTGTTGTCAGCGCAGGGGTCACACCTTCCCCCCCCCGTCCTTTCCCACCACTAGAGGAGGGGAGCGAGCGGGCCCCCCGTGAATCTCTTGGTCAGGCCTTTGTTAAGGGTCAGCTTGGGGGTCTGTGTAATCGTTTCTGAACATGGGTTCTGTTGTTACTGTGAATATTTTTGTCAAGGACACTCCATGCTTTGCGTTAAAAGAAAATGCTCGAATGATGTAGTGTGCTTATGATACTGCTCTATGTTGTCAACTCATTTCCAGTATAACAGAGTTTTTAAGGTGTGTGAGATGTTCACAGATTTGTCATTGCCACCCCACCTCGGTGAGCGTCTGTGGCTGAGGACAGACTAGAGCTCAGATTTTCTGAGTCCTTTTCCACCCTCTTTCTGCTACACCACACTGAGTTTCACATGTCTGTCCCATGGCTGATTGTCTTGTCAAGATAATACAAGGCTTATCTCTCTGTGGTCAGGTACAAAATCCATGCCTTTCCGTGGTTTTCTGACCCCTTTTGAATGTGGTTTCTTTTTTATTGCAGTTTGTCCTGTGCGGAATGTATGTAGCCTTGTGGCATTTTCTTACTGATCATTTCCATGGTTTCAGCCTCGATCTCTGCCATGTGCTGGCTTCTCTCCATTTATTATGTGTTAACCACAGTAAATGCCAGCAACAGTATACAGATGACCATTCATTTTGCCACCGCTACTGTGAGGATTGAAAGTAAGCTCTGCAAAGTCAGGGAAGTTTAGAAGTAGGGCAGATTATGCCATTGTTGCTGCTAGTCAAAATAGTCTGCAGTTCCACTCCATGGCTCCCATATACATCACGAGAAGGGAGATTTCACTGCTTGGAGGAAAGTAGATGAAGTTTAAGTTATAACCTTGTGTATGTGCATGCACAAAGATTTAAGTTTGCATTCGGAATAATAGAAGAATGTATCAAAATAATAAATGTATTTTAAAAAGTAGTGCAATCAAATAATATGGAACACTAAAACTTGTGCTTGCAAGATTTCTTATTTCAGTACTACCATCTCTTCCCCTTGTTTCTGTTGCTTTTTTGGTATTATTAAAACTTACTTAATCGCTTTCCTGTTTAGGTCTGGAATTACAGCACTTCCTGTGAAATGATAAACTATAACAAACTTAATGCATTGGCATTTTGTCAGAGAACAAAAATATTATACATTAATCCAACACTGTTGCCAGTGTAGTGTTGTTATCTGAATTACAAAGCAGTATTTGTGGGGGGAAAGTACCAAAGTTAAAACATAATCTAATGGCAAAAATCTTTTGTGTATATTATTCATGCCAGATGACTTAAAGTTAAAAGTAAGTTGTCATTTATATTTAAAATTGTCCCGTATTAGGTATGTATAGTTATCCATTCTGGGATTACTACATCTATTATCTGCCGTATTTGTTTAAATCAATAAATTTGATGATTATAGAAGTATAAGAACTGGTGGCAAAAATTCTAAAGGAGCAGAAAAATCCCCAGATAACTAAGTGAAGACTGTCTTGATCATAGAATTTGGAATGTTGGGGAAATAGTGTAGAAACTAGGAAGATGAAGGGGAAAGATAGTGTCATGAAAGGAGGCATGACTGGCTCAGTCCTAAGCAGGAGCATTCGGCACTGCAGTATTTTGTTGCTTCTTATTCTTACTATTAGTAAATACTGTATGTGTGTTTAAGTTCTAACAGCCTAGCAGCAAAATGGGGCCAGGAATAGTAGTTTCTTTATAGATTGAAGACTTCTTTGATATGCACAACTATGCAGTATACTATTGTAAATTAAAAGTACTTATTTTGTATGCACACACCGAATAGGACAAAGAATGTTGAGCTTCCAGGGTAGGCGGATGTGAGCAGTGATGCCCCCTCCCAAGGTGGAGGGAGACCCTTTTCTACCGTGGCTTCTATGTAATCATGACTCCCAGAGCTACTGAAACTGGAATTTATTAATCTAGGGCAGTGGTGGTGAACCTTTTTGGGCTTGTGTGCCCAAACTGGGAAAACAAAAAACAGCAGGCAGTGTGCCACCGTTGTGACAGTGGACCCGGAGGAACCGGAAGTGGCAGCGGAAAGGGGAATCCCAGCACGGAGTGCCCCAAGACCCCTCCGCTGCCAGCACTAGTTGCTCCGGATCTGCCTGCTGAAACACCAGCACCCCTGCCTGCTGAAACGCCAGCACCGGCTGCAGCCACCTCCTGAGGTTTGGCTGGGCAGGGAGGAGTAGCGATCTGGTGACATGGCTCACGTGCCAGCAGAAAGGGCTCTGTGTGCCAGCTGTGGCACACGTGCCATGGGTTCGACATCGCTGATCTAGGGGAACAGGGTACAAGAAATGATTGGGCACTGCTGGCACCCATCTTGCCAGGTTGTTGGGTATGTGTGAGAGTTGACAGCACAAGCTCTCCATCAGGTTCAATCTTTGCCTGAACCTGAATTCTGCTCACTGGGTTCAGTCTTTTGATCATGTTGGATCTTCAGAAGAGCTCTAAGCCAGTTCACAACTTTTAAGGAAGGTCTGTAGTGCCAGCTTCTCACCAGTGTCCCGGTCTTTTGCTGCCACCTCTGTTCCTTTTAGTACTTTTGTCTCCACTAGATCTTTTGGGTCAGGGTGGGGGTCAGGTGCCCAACCAGTTGTCACAATCCCCATGGATTCAGGGATGCTGGTGGGCTGGAGATTGGGGCATCACGACCACCATGTCCTCTCTCCTTAGATGTCCCCAGGAAGTAGACCCAAATGCCAGTCCAGGAATTCTGTACCTTCAGGTGGTTCTCATCTCCCTGGGCACAGAACACCAGGTCCAGCTTTTCCTTGGCTTCACTCCACTCTCCTCCTTTGGATTCAATGTAGGACAAGGAGACTTTTCTTTTTACCTGCTTTCTGCTGGCTGGACCCACCCTCTGCTTCCTTTCCCAGGTGTGACCTATCATTCCCCAGCTCATCTTCCCACCCTGGAGCCTCCATCTCCCTTTCTCAGCCCTACAGGGTGCCAGCTGCTGATGTTTCCATCAAGCCTACCTGGGGATGTGGCATGGAGCAAAGGCAGACAGCCCTCTAGGGACACTAGGCTGTCCCCCTCATGGTAGAATAGGTGTCAGTTCAGAGCAGGAGGGGAACCTTTGAGCTTTTTTTTGTTTGGGGATGTTGGGTGAGGGTGCCGCTTAGCCTATTGAGGCTTATAACAAGAGGGGCCAGATTATGATTGAGGGAATGTGTATTACAAGGTTCAGAAAGAGTTTTCTATACAATAGAAGGATGTTTGTAAAGGAAAGAGGACTTTTTTCTCTCCTTTACACTCACAAGACCACCCTTCATTCAATATCTATAAAATGCTAGGTATTACCTATAAAATTTTCTAGGTAACAAATGCTGTTCTGTGACCTCTAGCACTGAAGGGACACAAGGAACAGTCAGAAATTATGGGAGTTATCATAATTAGTTAGAACATCTGGGGGACACAAGGTTGAAGAAAACTGATATGCTGTGATAGCGCTTTTGCAGGATTTGGGCAGAGGGCTTTCCCATAATCTGTAAATTGAGTCTTTCGTCATGAGAAGGGGGAAGAGCAGAGGGGAGGGGATTTTTAAAAGTATTTTATTATGTGCTCCATAATACTCTTTCCTTATTTGTATTTTAAGAAGACTGCCAGGGGCCTGTCTGTGGCTGAATGGATCCTAGAACAGGAGCATTGTCTTGTGGCAAGGGTGGGGACTCTGGGAACCTCCAGATGTTGTTGAGCTTCCAACGCATCTCATCTTCAGACACTGCCCAATTTGAGATTCCATCTAAAAGTCTTGCAGCTGGCATATCAACCCAAGCTAATAAAAATCACTTGTAATTACCATCTGTACTCCCAGAGTTAAAAACAAGTGCAGAATGACTCCCACATTGTAAAATTTGTTCTTTCCAAACTGGAAAATCCAGAAAAATGGGTTTTGCCACTCACAGAATCTTGTATGGAATATGTTTCTGCTTGTTTTGCCATTATCCAAAAACTGCCTCTGGACATCTGGTTAGGGATTCCACAAGCGTTTTTGGGTCTAAGAGATAGAAATGAGAAGTAGATTTAATGTATCATCCACATACTTCAATCCAGACATCCAGGGACTTCCTCCAGAGTTCTTGTGAATACAAAAAACATGAGATATGTGATAGAACTTCACAGCATACATAAACCAAAGGCCTCAGATTCGAACAGAAGTCTCCAGGCATTACTCATGTTCTAGTAACAAATGTAGTTCTGAGAACCATGACAGCAAAGCCATGGAGGAAGATGGGAAATATTTAGGTGGAAGTACTGTATTCAGATCTGAAACCATCTTGTTTCCCTATAACATGTTGGATATGTTCCTCGGAATTGCTGTGAGAAGCAATTTTTGCAGTGGTAAATTATGGGGAAAAGTGGAGAAGCATGGAGGATTAAGGACCAGCCTGCGTATACCCCATATTCCACTGACACACTTAGAATGGGAAAACAGCACTCTGGCTTTCTTATTGTTTGTTTCTCTGTGTTGCAGAGCAACACACAGTCTAAGATAACATTTAAAATGTAAAATTAACTCTGCATTGTTTTAATCAAGTTAGTATGCAGCTCTTTTTCTCATTTATTATTAACAGTATTTATACAATTTTTTAAACATTTAATTTAAGTGCCTTGTCACTAGTCATTATACTTTTAGTTTGTCAAGGCCACACACTTGTGCTTTCTTCAGAGTGTGCATGAGTAGCCTACATATATATTACAGAGGATGTCCTAGGGGGGGATTGTATTAAAGGACAATAATTTAATTCTGTGGCCTAATGTAAACAAGAACATTTACATCTGAGTCATGAAATTTAATTTATATTGTTGAAGCCAGACACTGAGGATGTCTTTGTAGTAATGTAAGTGAAACAACAATTGACCTATGCATACACTTTAGGAACCAGGGGGTGTCATGGGGCATTTAAAAAATAATGTTTCATTTTTCAGCTGAATTTTTTCCATTTAAAATAATTATTAGTTCATAAATATTTGGCGGAACGCCTCCTCCCAACAAGGTCTACCCGGATCACCCGCACGAGTCAGGAGGTGAGGAGCCTGATGCCAAGAGAGGCCCGGAAGGAGAAGACACGAAACCGGGCCTTCTCGGTGGTGGCTCCTCGCCTCTGGAACAATCTCCCTCCGGAGATTTGCGCGGCCCCCACGCTGGGCACCTTTAAAACCCAATTAAAAACATGGCTGTTTATTCAGGCCTTCCCTCCAGCCAACTCTTGATTTTTTCTTACTTTTCCTTTTTATTTTTACTGCTGTTCTTGTCTGATTATTATGTATTTGTCTATGTTTTATTATTTGATTTTATATTTGGAAGCCGCCTAGAGTGGTCCGGTGGGCCAGATAGGCGAGGTATAAATTAAATAAATAAATAAATAAATAAATAAATAAAATGTATTGGCGTCGATGAATGAATGTCACTATAATATTAGATAATCTTGACAAGTTGTAATTAAGGTTTTCCAGGCACTTTGCCCTGAGATCCCTAGGGATATTAAAAGTCTTACTTATTAAATAGAAGTCAAGGAATCATGATAAATCAGAGAATGCTCTATTGTTTTTGTTATGTGATGTCAATTCCAACTTATAGTGGCCCTAGTCGGAGTTTTCAAGGTATGTCAGATGTTCTGGGCATGGTTTACCATTGCCAGCCCCAAAACTCTATTTAGGGCACTTGAAATTTGGAAAAATGCCCCAAACCCCATGGCACCATAGGTTTGCAATCTTGACAAAATCACTTCAGAACATGACAGCCCACTTGATCTGTCAGTTATGCGATAGGAACAGTTGAAGTGAGAGAACATCAGGATATAGGCTTAACATCCAGATACCAAACTCCTTGGACTAGGGCCGTTATTTAATTAATTAGAAACAGTTTCTTCTTTATCATTACTTTATACCAATGGAAAGGAGAATTAAGTGTTTAAATATATAAGCTTTAAAATGTTGGTTTCTAATTAGTGCATCATTTCATGTTGTATAGAGAGGACTATTCATGGTTTTGTTTTTTAAAAGATATTAATAAAACATCTGACAATGTTTCTTTTCTTTTTTTCCCTAGGTGGCTTGTTATAGCTGTTGGGCTAGTTAGAGCATACCTCGCCAAGGGTAGCTATCACAATCTTTACTATTCAATAGAAAAGCCTTTGAAATTCTTCCAAACTGGTGCTTTGCTTGAGGTAAGTGAGTTACAGGGAAGGTGCTCCTCTAAATATTACTTCTTGAGGGTTTTTTTAAATCTGTTCCAGTCATTAACTTGTTCCTATAGTGCTGCATTTAATACTAGCCCTTTTTGTAGGTACGTTCTTGGTAAATGCAGGTTTGTTTCATTGTACATCAGAAAGTAAAGTTTAAAGGATGATAATTTTAAATGATGAAATAATGCTTATTAAATTTAATCTGTTTTCTGATGTCATTTAGTGATAGTCGATTTAAAATGAGAAATAGGTTTACTTGTTTTAGCTGAATGGTAGAATTTTTGAATTAGGGAATCATATATTCTTTCCCTACTATGTGCAGCAGTAAACTATCAAGTCAAGAGATCCTATGCTTATTGGACTCACCTGACCCTGCAAAATCAAATCCTCTTCATAAATGAGTTTTTATCTCTCAGTTTTGTCCCCCCGGTTCTGTCATTCACTTATGTCTTCGGCAATGGGAATAGAGTAGGGATTGTTTTAGTTTTGGAAGCTAAGAACCTGCTCTAATGGTCTCATTAGGGAGAGAAAATTAATATGTGACAATACCCGTGGTATTTTGAGAAAGCTGAAAGGGTTTAAACGGTTTAGGACCTCAATACTTGGCGGAACGCTTACTCCCAACTAGCTCTACCCGTGTCACCCGCGTGAGCCAGGAGGTGAGGTTGAGGAGCCTGACACCGAGGGAGGCCCGGAAGGAAAGAACTAGAAACCAGGCCTTCTTGGCGGTGGCTCCTCGCCTCTGAAATAACCTACCTCCAGAGATTCGTGCTGCACCCTCGCTGGGTACTTTTAAGAACCAACTAAAAACGTGGATGTATAGGCAGGCCTTCCCTTCCAGTTAATTCCTGTCCTCTTTCCTTTTTTTTCCTCTTTATTTGATTTATTTTGTATTTTTCCCATTGCAAAATCATTTAATTAATTAATTGTTACAAATTTTTCTTAAACTTGTTATGTTTTATGTTGTAAGCCACCTAGAGTGGTCGAAATAACTAGATAAGCGGGGTATAAATACAATTTAAAATAATAATAATCATCTCTTCTAAGAGCATATTCTGTGTAAAAGAATATGCTCTTTGACAAAAAGGTATAGGTGATAGTCCTTGTTTCTGAACAGATTAAATATGCAGATATAACAAATAAGATTAAAGAAATGTTCTTCTTAGACATCATAGGCTGCTACAGTATTGTAGTCAAATATATATCAGTAGCATGAAAAATACTGGTTAATATTGACTTAATCTTTTTTGTTTTAGATCCTGCATTGCATGATAGGTAAGTTTTCAATTCAGTTTTTTATTAATGAAATCTCAAATGTATCACCAAAGGGTATTTGGCATGGCCCAGAAACAAAACAATGAATAGCTAGTAAATCATTTCAGAAACCTAACTACCAGTTTATTATAACAGCCACATTGGTTGTCCCAGGAACATCCTGAACAATAGTAAACTGTTGTAGTGTAGAATCTGAGTTGGGAGGAACCAGAAACTTTATTACAGTAAGTACAGGACCATCATTCGCCATTGTCACCAAAGAAGAATCAAATCAATTCAGAACAGACCAGTTGCCTGAGATCATCCATTAGCATATTTCATATTTCAAACCAGGCAAATGTCAGGAGTATTCTCAACTTCATATACGGTTGTTAACCAGAGCAGTCATGAATAAAACATTCAAAAGGAAATTCAGTTGGTTCAAAAATTCACTATGACTCGGCGTATTGTTCCTGATTGTAGCAGTTTATTGTACTTAAAAAGATGATAGGGAAGGTTGTTCCAAAAAATAAGCCATAAATAAGTCACAAAACAAAATCCATCCAATATCTCAGACTGAGGCTGATGGGAGTGTTTAACTACTGTAGTGAAAGAGTGCTTTGAATTATAATAGCACCTCCACAGACAATCTGCTTATCTAGTTTATGAGGCATCAACCAGTAGCCTATTTGGAAAATGTGGAGTGGAGGGGTCGTCATGTAACCTTTCCTTTTGCTCTAACAGGCCTCCCTTTGGGTAACCAGTCTTCCGCTGGTTGTGAGATCAGATACAGTGGGGTCTCTACTTAAGAACGTCCCTACTTAAGAACAATCCAACTTAAGAACAGCTCCATTTGCTAAATCTTGCTTCTACTTGAGAACAGAAATCCAAGAAAAGAACAGGAAAAAAAACCTTTCCTGCTCTTTTTTTAACCTTAGGTCATCTTAGGTTAAAAAAAATTCTCTCCCTAGTGGTAGAGTACGTATTAACCAGCTTTGCATTAGTTCCTATGGGAACTAATGCTTCAGTGTACGAACGCACCTCTACATAACAAAAAATCAGCCAGAACGGATTAATTGGTTTTCAGGCCATTCCTATGGGAAATTTTGCTTCAACTTAAGAACGTTTCAACTTAAGAACACCATTCCAAAACGGATTAAGTTCTTAAGTAGAGGTTCCACTGTAGTTTCTATGGACGGAAAAGAGCAGATACGGACTAAATGGTTTTCAATGCATTCCTATGGGAAATGCAGATTCAACATAAGAACTTTTCAACTTGAGAACCACCTTCCAATACGGATTAAGTTCTTAAGTAGAGACCCCACTGTATGTGACAGGGCCTGCCAGAACACTTATGTTTGGAATTGTTGAGTTTAATGTAAAATAGAGGAAATAGTTCTGCTTTTGCTGGCCAGCCTCAATTGGCACTATCCTCCAGATTATGCATAAGAAGGAATAGAACTTCTTAGGAACACTAGAACTGAGGATTTGTACAAACTCTAAACTGTATTTGCAGGGATCGTTCCTTCTTCTGTTGTCCTGACAGCTTTCCAAGTGATGTCAAGAGTTTTTCTGATTTGGGCTGTAACCCACAGTGTAAAAGAGGTAAGTGGGAAGAAAAAGTATGTTTAATTTGTACCAAAATCTTTGACATCTTTTATAAATTTGTTGTTCCTTTGTAGTGGTTTCACTATGATTTCTATAAACACCTCTATATAATCTAGTTTTGGGGCCTCAAAAGATGTATGCAGCACTCTTATTAAATTTGTACTGTCGCTCTGTGCTGGTTCTGCACCACAGTTAAGAAGAATTCATGGAACCCTTAGACTTTGGGGAGAAAAGAGTATTATATGGGGGTGAAACTGGGTAGGGAGGTAGTAAATACACAGTAGACTCTTCTGCCAAGTTGCTACTGTAGTTTCCTTTTCAGTATCCAAGGCTTACAACTTTGTTTAAATTCCTTGTTGCTATTATTGTCTGGTAACATTTTTCATGCAGCTTTTTAGTACCTTTGAAACAAAGTTTAATGGATTTATGTGGGTCCAGTTAATCTATGATTTCTATAAACACCTCTATATGTGGTATTTAACATGCAGTGACAATTATATGAAAATGAACAGCTCTAATTAAGAATCTGCTAATAAGCTGTTAAATATTGATCCTCTTTAAAGATTAGAGTTATCTACATTGTTGTGAAAGTTGTTTGCTTTTTCCTGTAAGGATATCTGCACACCCAAGCTCACTGAAGAAATTCCGCTGTTAAAGATTTTGTAAGATATCACATATGGATGCATGGATAATATGTTCAGTCTCTTGGTTGAATATTCCCTATATTTTCAGTTTCATTAATGGGAAATTCTTCATACTTCTGATTTCTCTTGAACTAACTGTCTCTTACAGAAGACAATTTATTTATTTGACTCTCTATCCTGCTTGTTTCCCAAAACCCGAATTCAAGGCAGTTCGAAATGAGATTAAAAACAGTAGTTGTCTTCCTTTAACTTTTTTTTATCAATCTAATTAAATGATTGTATTATTTTGCAATCCATAACACATTTTCTCTTAGCTCGGCTTCTTGGTGTGTAGTGTTTAATATTTAAGTGCATGAGGTAGTTCAGTAATGCTTGTTTTCAGTCCTGGGATGGCCACGTTTTTAGCATGCAGTGGCCTTTATGCTCCTTGTTACCTGAAATCCCCTTGACTGATCTCTCAAATGAATCTTCAGAGCTTCAGTTTTCATATTGCTTTCTTACCTTTCATTAGAAAAGGGGGAAATAGTCTGTCGCTGGAAAAGTCAGGAAAACAAAAACAAATTAGTGAGGAAAGCTGTCAAAATAGTACAACATCCTTTGTGCCTTATTTGAACTTCCTCAAGTGACAAATGGATTATGTTTGTGGAATCTTAATGCAGCTAGAACTTTTTGATGTACTGTATTTGAAAGAAATCCACCTTAGTTAAAAAATAACAATTAGGCTTAGGTATCTCCCCCCCCCCCCCGGGATGTATCAGGCATTTCTTCAGCACTGCCAGATTAAACAAACACACCCATGTTCTTTCTCTGGACATAGGTGTGATGCTGGCCCCTTTGAACAGTTTACCTGCAGAATGACCAACCAGTAGTTCATAGTCCAGGTGTGAACTGAACTACCTGTGATTTTTAAAAATTCAAAAAAGGAGAGAGAATCTTTCAAGTCATTCATATCTGTTCCATATAGCGTAATTAAATTTCACCAGGTGTTGCAGAAAGATTTAGAAAAGAAGATGAGTCTCAGTGATACCGTTTTCGACTGCTCTTGTTTCGCAGTTCCTTTTACAATTGCACGATTCTGTGGGTTGCACTGTTAAGATAATTTTCTCAAGTTAATCTGGTTCATCAGGTACATGCAGAAGAAGGAAAAATGTGTACGATGCTGTAAGCAGTAACTAGGTCAAGACATTCTCATGCCTTCTGAGTTCTGAAGTTACAGTTTATTCTGTAGTTGCGTACTAGTTGGCAGTTGTCTGTGAAAGGAAGAGTGCCTCTGTGTCAAATATAGCTATCAAGTTCTCTGTTGCTTGTGAGCAGAAAGAGGACTGTGTTTTGTTTTGAGCAGTTGGCTATCTCTAAGCCTAATAGCACTGATAATTCAGCAGCATTCCACTGATTAATAGCTCCAGAGGCCTGATAAAAGCCTAACATCTATAGCTTCTATTAATATTACAGGTGGTTTTTCAAGCTGTTGGCTATCTAAATCTCAATTGCCAAATTCTTCTCTCAAATAGGGAACTGGACACACAAAAGAGCACTCTTGATATGGCCAATAGGTGACATTAAGGAGCATAAAATGTATGTTTTTTTACAAAATTGTCTTCTGATCATAAGGCTCTAACTACAGGTGACTTGCCTGCAATATTGTGTGTCTGTGTGTGCTTAAAATTTTAATTATGAGCATTAAGAGGACAAATTTGAATCTGGATTGAAGCATACAGGTAAAAGAACAGATGGGAGAGGAGGCCAGAGTGCTGATGGGTGCTGTTTTCCTGTCATTAATTGTAGTGATGGTGAGAACTTTTTGTTAGATTTATGGCAGGGGAATGAAAGTGTAAATCTTCCCTTAGAAACACACTGTGCTCAAAATAGATGCACTCATTTGTACATGTTCACTATTAAAAGTTCTGAAACTCCACAAAATGCTGGGCATACTAACATATGTAGTTAAGCCATAAGCTTTACCAATTTACTTCAGCTAAATATCTGTTAAGATTCTTTGAGGAGCACAACTTTATGCATTCTGTCAGCTTTCTTTTGTGTCCCCAGTAATAGCGCAGAGTGCAACACTAGCACTTATGAGGATTAAGGCCCATTACTTCAGAAGCTGTGTAGGATTGCTGTCTTGGGTTTATATATCTTTTCAAAACATAAATACAGTTTAGGGCCAACTTGCAGAGTCAAGACTAATTGCTACAGTTTTCCTTGAGAAGGCAGGGTAATTTGCAGGATAAGGGAAGAATTAGCAGCAATCTCCAATGACACTGTCTTCTTACATAATGATTTTTGCAGGCTGAGAACTGATAGGCACAGTTTTCTTTTCTAAGCTGGCTGGCATGCATCTTTCTGAACAGGAAGATAAATGGAGAGGGTTATAAATGGATAAAGGCATGCACATGCACTATTTAACTAAGCTAGTGATGCTTCCAGAGTAGACATTAGCATATTTTTACTCGCTTTTATGGGGTATGAGTGTGCTGTCAGGTGATCATTGTCCTTTGTTTTCCCTGTGATTTTTCTTTTTTTTATTCCAGATTGCAGAAAAATCCATTTTGTTAGAGAGAACAGAATTTACCCAAGTATAATTATCCTTGGTGCTGTTCTTCCAGCTTGTTTACATCCCGCAAATCTGTGGTTTGCAACTTGGCAAAAGGAGTACACTCTAGTGTGAAGTTTTTAAAACTAGACTGAAATGACTGAGGGCTGAATATGAATGCTGTGCATTTGCACGCGGCCCTACTAGAAAGCATGTTTGAGAAAACAGAATAGAAATGGAATGTGCAAGTCATTCTCAAAGAGACAGGCTAGTCCGATATGGCAGCCGAGGCTCCTATATATGAGCTTCGGCATTAGTGAGAAAAGATTAGCTTGCTGTCTCTGTAACTTAAGCCACAGCAGAGGTTCTCCAGATGAGGTGTGCCTGGCCATGAGATGTCAGATTTTATGGGAATTCCAGATTCCTTACATTTGTACTTCCTCATATTTTTTCACCACTTGTTTCATCCTTTTTGCTTATCATACGAAATCTGCAGAGGAGGGTAAAAATAGCTGTACAATGCTTTTTGATGGCAGCACTAGATGTTGTCTGTCTGGAAGCAGCCAGAATTGGAACAACTTCTCCCTCCTTCATTTTTCCTGTGCTGCAGTGCACTTGTTCCCCTTTTGAATACACAGAAGGCCAGCTATGTTAATGTTTTGCAGAGAGGGCTATGGGAAGTCTTGTGGCCCTGTAAAGACTAAGACATGTGTACAACTTAAGCTGTTGTGGTGGATTCATATGCGTAGAGTTTGTGGGAAGGGGCAACTTGTACACAATGTGAACTTGCCAGCCAGGATATCAAGTGTCTGTGAGGGTGAATTGGGCCCAGAAAGTGTGTGACATAATATGTGTTAGTCTTTAAGGCGCCGCAAGGCTGTTTTTTTAAATTATTTTGCTTTAGTGGAAAAAAAATAGGTCATTAAACTTGCCATTTCTGTTAAAGAGAGGGCAACACTGACACACACTAGTCAGCTTTTATGTACTTATTGATTTATTTATTTAAAATATTTTTATCCTGTTTTTCTCCCTAAAAAGGATCCAAAGCAGCTTACATCATTAGAAGACAGTATTGAAAGGAACTATAGTAAAAGCAAAAAATCCAAAAAGATCAAACAAATAACATATTAAGAAATATAAGCAACACCAAAACACAGTCAAAGCAATAAGGTATAAGTATCCATTTAAAAGCATAAGCCGCACCAAAATGCATTCAAAGCAGTAAGTTACAACAGTCCGTGACATTAATGCTTTGAAGGAGACACTTTAACAAATACAGCCTGAATCTCATTGGTGGTCCCAGCTAGAATTCACTTGATCTCCTCTAGCTGGAACTAGCAACTGGGTTTAAGCCAATGTAATCTAAACAGCAAGTTAATAAATAGTTATTTAAAGATATTGTGAAAAGAGAGGAAGTACCACCTATCATTCATTCATTCATTCATTCATTCATTCATTCATTTATTTATTTATTTGATTTATACCCCGCCCATCTGGCCTAAAAGACCACTCTAGGCGGCTTCCAGTATTCCACCTTCATGCATTCCACCTGCATTTTGCCCAAGGTACATGATTCTTACTGATTCTCTGATTTCAAAACTGGAGGTGGACAAGTAAAACAATGCAATACACGTTATTTACCTTGGAGATGATATCAGTGATGCAGTTATGACTTTCTGTTTACTACCCAGAGACACTATATTTACTTGTACCAGAAATGGTGAAAGTGGATTCCTAGGATCTATGGTCATTTGACTCTGGTGCTAAAGGAGTAGCTGGAGTACTATTTCTTTCAGCCAGAGTCCCTTGAGCACCTTGGGCCATGTGCAAGGAGCCCATGCTGCAGGTCTTTCCCATGCCAGTAAGGAGGATCAAGGTCTCAGGAAGAGTGAGCTTGTACACTTCTCCCAGATGAACAGTGCTTCTTGCACTACCTCTTTGATGCAGCTTTGTGGAGGCTCCTGTGGCCTTGCAGCCACATGTCTACCATCGTCTCTTTCTCTCTCAGACTCAGTAGACAGATATACAGAAATATCAACAAGTCTGTCCATTTATATGGACTTTGTATTGATGTTTTAGACTACTATTGTAAAAATCACACGAACCAGAACCTAACAAGAAAGGAATTAGTCTAATTGGTTGTTCTGGGTTTTTTGGGCTCTTTGGCCGTGTTCTCTTTGGCCTTCAGAACACGGCCAAAGAGCCCGAAAAACCCAGAACAACCATTGGATCCCGGCCGTGAAAGCCTTTGCGAATAAATTAGTCTAATTATTAGACTCTCACTTCTCTGCCCGTTTTCTACTTGCTCAGAGGTCTGAATCTGAATATTTCCTTAAGATACTTGGTTTACTGCTTGACAGAGAGAGGCTTTTAAGCATTGCTTAGATTCATGGAAGCCACTGTTTTGCGAGGGACCCATGCTACTGAACTTATGTTCAATTTCCTCTTCGTGGTTTCTGTGATTCACACCACGGTGTTGTTCTGTGCAGGCGCAGATGTCACTGGAGTCTCCCGGAGCCTAGAAAAAAACTGATTAGCCTATCACCTGGTTCATATTCCTCCGCCTGACAGTTAATCTCAGTTCCTATTGACTGCCGCTGTAGCAGCTGGTCAGTTGGATCCTGAACACTTGGTCAGTATTCCTTTGGGAGTCGAGTGCAACCTCTATGAAAACGGCGGTGATTGGATAGTTTGACATTTACCTCAACTGCACAAAAGCCTCTAATGGAGTACTGACTTCCATTGAGCTAAGACTATGTTTAGAGAGTTTACTTGGCACGTGGACAATTAAGAATTTTCTTCTAACTATCCATAGCTTACAGTGTAGTCACAACCACTTCTTTCAAATAATTTCATATTATTTGGGCCCAACTTTTGAGATATTTCAACTGAAGAGGAGTTAAGTGCTTTTTCAACTATTGTTATTCTGCTCACACTTTGTATTTCCTTAACTGGAATGCAGTAAACTGGATTGTTTTTTAAAAATCATTTACATTTGAGGAAGATTTTCATGTACTTGTTTTACAAAAAAGGTTCATAGTATTAAAATTGTTTCTGGTGTTAGTGGGCCTTATGGTTCTTCTTCCATAGATTGATGATAAACAGTGCATCTGCTTGGGGATGAAAGTTATAAGTTTGGCTTGGCATTTTTAATTACTTACAATGTACTTTCAGCTTTCACCAACTACATTTTCCTTCCACAGGTGCAAAGTGAAGACAGTGTCCTCCTCTTTGTTGTTGCTTGGACAGTGACAGAGATAATTCGTTACTCCTTTTATACTTTCAGCTTATTAAATCACCTCCCTTACCTCATCAAATGGGCCAGGTAGGGATATTAAATTTAAATAATTCTTGAAAAACTGTCATAAGAGTTATAAGAAAGAGAAGGACTACTTCTTAAAAATGAAGATGATAGTTAAGTGTCCTGCACATAAATGCAAGTTCATTACTACTACTGATACTAATAATGATTATGATGATTGGGTTCCTTACTAATAATCCATGTGTATGTTCTAAAAATTACTAACTTCTATAATCTCTTATATCTTGGGATACAATTGAGTGAATTATAGTATCCATTTGGTTTTGTTTGGTTTCAGTACTGCCTTTCTCCCATAAAGGGAGGCAAGACAGCTCAGAATAATTAAAATACAAATAAAGTTAAACAGAACAATAAAGATATAATTAGAAAACAGTGAAATAAAGTATAATTTTAAAATTGTTTATACAAACACTAAAGCAACCTTTGTTTGTTTGTTTGTTTGTTTGTTTGTTTGTTTGTTTGTTTTAATTTATACCCCGCCTATCTGGTCATTACGACCACTCTAGGCAGCTTCCAGACAAATAAAAAATAACATGTGCATATACCAAAGTAACAAGTATAAAATAAGAAACAATAAACAAATTCTTTAAGATAAAGAGATAACAAAAGATAAAGAAAAAGAAATGAAATGTTAGCTGGAGGGAAGGCCTGCCTGAACACCCAAGTTTTTAATTGAGTCTTAAAAATACCCAGTGACGGGGCCACACGAATCTCTGGAGGGAGGTTGTTCCAGAGGCGAGGAGCCACCGCCGAGAAGGCCCGATTCCTTGTCCTTTCCTTTCGGGCCTCCCTCGGCGTCGGCCTCCTCAGCCTCCCCTCCTGACTCAAACGAGTGATACAGGTAGATCTTGGTGGGAGTAGGCATATCGAGGCCCTAAACCATTTAGGGCTTTATCCATAAGCATCAACACTTTGAAGTCAATGCGGAACCAAATGGGCAGCCAATGCAGTGTGGCCAGAGTAGGAGAGATATGCTGACATTTTCTCACTCCACTAAGGAGTCTGGCCGCCGCATTCTGCACCACTTGGAGTTTCTGCATCAGCCTCAAAGGTAGCCCCACGTAGAGCGCATTACAATGGTCTAATCTTGAGATTACGAGCACATGCACCAGGGTAGTGAATGCCCCAACATTGAGGTAGGGTTGCAGCTGAGCTATCCGCCAAAGGTGAAAGAAGGCGGTAAGGACCACTGACGCCACTTGAGTTTCCATAGTGAGTGTCGGGTCCAGATGGATCCCAAGCTGCGGACCCCGCCAAAAGAGAGAGAGAGTTTCCCAAGCTGCCTACTGTGGGGGCGCCCACCCTCAGTACCTCCGTCTTGTCCGGGTTCAGCCTCAGCCCATTTTCCTGCATTCATTGCAGTACAGCCCCCAGGCAGTGCTGAAGGGACAGAACAGCTTCTTCTGCAGCTGGTGAAAAGGAGATGTAGAGCTGGGTGTCATCAGCGTACTGATGACATGATGCCCCACACCCCCTGATGACCCCACCCAGCGATCTCATATAGATGTTGAACAACATTGGGGAGATAATCGACCCCATTAAAGTGCACACATTAAAGCACATTTAAATAATCATAGCCACCGTGACGGAGACAGATGCCCAAAATGTCTTTACCTGACACTAGAAGAACAAGAGAGAGGACACTTCACCACACAGGAGCAGCCACAGAGACTGTCCCCTCTCATATTCTCATTAAGCATGCCTGTGAAAGCAGAGGGTGCTGAGAGAGTGGCCTCCTTTGAATATCTTAAAAGCTAAAAAGTCTCATGCAAGGAGAAATGTTTCTTCAGGCAGCCTGGGCCCAAGCTATGTAGAGGTTTATAGGTCATAATCAGCACTTTGAATTGAGTCCAACAACGGGCCAGCAGTGTGCAATATGTTAATTATAAGTCACTTACTATATGGTCAGATTTCAGGCAAGTGGAGGCCACTTGAAGGAAAATGTGTAGTTTCAGGCTGTTTAAATTGACAGTGTAATGCTGCACATCTCCAGTCAGGTGTAAGAGAGTTCAGGGGGATGTGGTCCTAGCCCAGTGTGAATAGAAATGTAGTCATAGTTCCCAGAAATAGGAAGCAATGTAAATCTTCTGAAAGTTGGCTTTGGCTTTGAGTGTTTTTGTTATGAGTAGAAAAACCACAGTTCAAGTGCTTAAATTTTAGACATTTCACAAGAATTCAGAGACTAAATGTGGAAGTCCTATCTCACACACAGTATGGTCCCATTATATTCAGTTAGACTTATTTCTGAGTGAATGCACCTCGGATAATGTTATGAATGTCTTTACCTACGTTTGTTTTGTTTCTTTAGATACACCTTTTTCATTGTACTGTATCCAATGGGAGTTTCAGGAGAATTGCTCACAATATATGCTGCTCTGCCTTTTGTCAGGCAGTCTGGTTTATATTCCATTCGTTTACCCAACAAATACAATTTCTCATTTGATTACTATACATTCCTGATCCTGACTATGATATCTTATATTCCAAGTAAGTGTACTACTCAGTTAATTTTGCCCATGAAATCTAGTTCTGCCAGAGCAGATTAGAATGGTTGGAAACAATTTGGTATTACATTGTTTAGCTGTTTTTCAATAGTCTAAAATGAATAAGCATTAAAAATAATGGTAGGTGATTAACACTGAAAATGGATGTTAAACCTAAATGCCTACCTCTACATCAAGGAGAGAGGCACAAGAGCTTATCTGAACAGTGTCTCCAGTTGTAAAAGTGTCACACAACAGGTTTGCTCTGACATTTGTAGGACCCTTGGTTCTTTTTGTCTTTTCATGTAGGCGTAATAAGAGATGAAAATAAATACAGGGATTGTTACAAGTGACCTGTTTCTAGTTTTGAAAGACACATGCTCATAAAAGAGCCTTTTGGTTTCAGTTTTGATTCATCTTCATGCTAATGGATAATGAAGTTTAGAAGCTTAGTTTCTAAGTATAACTGCAGCGATAAATGTGAAAATGGAAAGTTTTGAATAAAATTTGTTGCATATGCAAAATAATGGGAGGCTGACATATCTGCTTGTGTTAGGATTCTTAAGGTGATTATGATGTTTTAAAACTCAAATCTGTTGACCCTACATGACAAATGTATACATTTGCAAAAAAAAAAAAAAGTCCCTAGCAGCCCTGGAGCACACAAGTTTCATATTGTGGAGTAGTTTGCTTAGAGCTATAAAAAATTGCATGCACTGCTTGTCCTATGAAAGCTGTAGAATTTGCTTGCTTTCAGCAAAAGGGATGATCTTGAGAGCCCCCCCCCTTTTTTTATGGGATATTGCTGTTTTTTGATACACCAGTCCTCTCCAGAAGCAGTGCTTTCTCATGGAAAAAGACAGTGAGTTATTTGAATAGAAAATACATGCAACTAAATGTTTTATGTGCTGTCAAGACAGAATCAATTTATAGCCACCCTAAACGGGATGAGCACCGCCCCCTAGAGTTGGACACGACTGGACTAAATATGTCAAGGGGAACCTTTACCTTTAATAGGGCTTTCAAGATAAGTGAGATATTTAAAAGTGATTTTGCTAGTTCTACTCCCCCAGTGAGCTTCCGTGGCTGACCAGGGATTTGAACCCAGGTCTCCTGAGTCCTTGTCTATCATTCTATCCACTAGACCATATTGGGTATAAAATATTTCTCTGTATATTAAAAAATGTTAACTGTGCAGTAGAGGCCTCAGAAATGAAGTTACAAGATAGAATACAGAATAGTGGAATAGAACACGAAAGATTACAATAATTCAGTTATATCTTAAAATAGTAACCAATTAGATGAGTCATTTGGCATGAAGAGTCTCATGGTGCAGTGGTTAAACTGACCTGAGTTCAATCCCGGGCTTAGGTAACTGGCTCAAGGTTGACTCAACTTTGTCCCGGGCTTAGGTAACTGGCTGAAGGTTGACTCAACTTTCCATCCTTCTGAGGCTGGTAAGTCGAGTACCCAGCTGAGGGGAAGGGGACAATGTGTAGCCTGCATAATTATGTTGTAAGCCTCCCAAAGAGAACTTTAAGCCTGTGGGGCCATATATAAACAGTACATGTTGCTTTTGCTTTTTAAAGATTTATCAAACTTATTATATCATAGATTTTCATTGGCTAGAGTTACACCAAGTGTATAAACAAAATGTTACATGCTTATTATTAGCGAACATAGCTCAGCTGTTGCTAAGGTCATTTTTGCCTAGAGCAATACAGTATATTTCAGTAGAAAGGGAGAAAATGTGCCAAAGATTTGGTTTGGTCTGCATATTAGGAAAAATGTTATTTTCTCGAGAATAACTTTTTGACAAAATCTGTTTGGCATTAAGTAGATCAATTTCTGTTTTTGACATGCATGTACAGTTTGTAATTCAAGATATATAATTACAAACTGTACGTGCATGTCAAAAACAGAAATATGACACATTAAATCTATATGACACATTAAATCTTTAAATAAAAGATGTACAGAGACAACATTGTTCCATGGTGACCTAAAATCAGCTGTTTAGAATCTTTTCAGGATGTCTTTTTAATAATGAGCAGAAGGTATAAAATTAGCCTTTGAAGCCTGGTCCTGCCACAAGGCAAAGCAAAATATTTCCTCAGGCAGTAAATGCTGGGTGCCTTGAATATAATATTCAAGTATTATATGGCGGAGTTGTCTGCGCTGCTATGCATTTCCTGTACTTCCAAATCTAGGCTGCTGCCTCTGCTGTGGTGAAATATCTTGTCCTTTTTCCGACATAGAATTTATATTGGGTGGCCAGGTCAGTCAATTTCTCTATATGGAAGGTGGCAAAGAGGAGTACTATTTTGTCATTTCCTTTAGGCATTAAAGTATCTTGGGTGATACTAATATGATTGTGTGAATGATGTTGAATACTTGATATTAGCTAAACTGTGTGTAGATGAAATCCTAATTTCCTTTAACATAATTCTACTTTGTTTTTCAGTCTTCCCTCAGCTGTATTTTCATATGCTGCATCAGAGGAGAAAAGTACTTTCCCTTCCTGAAGAACACAAGAAATCTGAGTAGTTCCAGCTTTTGTTCATAGAGATGCACATGCAGTTGTAATCATGCAAACACACACACACACACACACACACACACACACACACACACTTACACTTACACAAACACAAACACAAACACATATACAAAATGTAAGCAAGCTTTCAGAAGTACTAAAATATAAAGGTCATAATGACTGGCTTAGGTGAGTCCTAAATATATCTTTCAGCACTGGTAATTCTTCAGCAAAACCATCTACCTTTTCAGCATGCCCTTTTACAATTGCACATATTATCATTCTTTTAATTTATTTGTTAAGTGCTTCTAGTAGAACATATTTTTGCTGATAGTTATGAGGGATAGAGTAAATGTGGTGGTTGAATTTGGATTATTTTATTAGTTACAGACTTGTTTGCATGTCACATACTTCTGTATATTGTAACTATGTTATGTGGAATGCTTTTAAGAATTTGTCTGGAACAGATTAATGAAAAGACTTTGCTGACTTTCACTCTGGATAAGGTTGTATTCATTGGAATTCAGGGAACAACCACAGGGAGGGACCCATTGCAATGATGGCAGTAGTAATTGGTTGCATAATCTACACAGCTAGTTTTGTTTTTTTTTAAAGAATAGGGCCTTTAAATAGTGCAACATTGCAGAAGAGTGTCCATTTGAAAGGTGCAATTTAATCTTATTACCTCAAGCATGGATGTTCTCTTGCTTCTTTTTTTTTAATACGCTGACTTATTTTTTACTTGGCACTCAATTTTACTGAAATGCATATAACACAAATAATTTATAACTGAAACTGATGTCAGTGGAGAATTATTAACTCTCTAAACATAAGTAGCATTTTATAAACATGAATGAAGGTGATAATACTTGCTGTCAGTGATCATCATTCACAAACATTCTCAGCCTGTTTCCAAAACAAGTTTGCTTAAAATTCAAAATGTTTTTAACAGCACTACTAATGTTGTGCCTAAAGGCATTGTTAATGCTGGCAAGTCCAATTTACTTCAAAGTTTACTCACTCAGAGAATGACATTTTTATAAGGGAACCAGATGAGAATTCTTGGTTTGATTAAGTAACCTCTTTAGGAAAGTCTGGTGGGAAATGCTGATTGCTCCTTTTAGGCTCCGTGATTACCAGCTATACTAGGAAGAGAGAGAAGCGTTATAATTTCTTAACATAAGTATTGTGTTTTCTTGGGGGAAAAAACCTCATTTTTAATATTAATATTACTATTAGCCTACCTGGTACTGAATAACAGAAAAAAGGTTGTAACTCAAATTACGTGATTATGAAACCACAAAGAAGATACCATGAGCTTGTTTTAAACCATTAGCCTTGGGCACCCTTCTTTCAGTAGTTAATTATGAACACCATTATGTTCTAATTTAGATTATCACCAAAGAACTTTGTGTTCACTGACATGTTTTCTGAAAGTGACATCCAGGCTATTTCTCATTCATTCTAATATGCTAATTAATTTCACATTATGCTATCATTTTCTATCTTTCATTTTGATTGTCAGAAACAATTATTTGACTCCCTGAACTCTTTTGGCATTCATGTTGATTATAAAGATGCATTCCTCTTGCAGATCTCTTTAGTCCAAGAGTTCGTCTCACTGTGTATAAACAACACAGGAAAAGGCAGCAGCTTGTATTGTGCCATTTGTAGATGAATGTGTGTGGACTGTGTAATATACACATCAAAATGGCAAATTTCAAGAAGAACAATGATTTCTCATTAGCACCTTTATTACATGTGCCCTCAAGAACTCATTCCACCCCAGGTGCCCAAGACTGCGATTTACAGATTGATACAAATCTTGCAGTCTGAAGAGCAAGAAATGAGCAAAAATGTAGAAAGGATCAATAGTTCCCCCCCCCCGCTTACTTTCAGTATAGCATACTGACTATGCCTTAAAAGAGCAGAGTATTGTCTGAACATATCTAAGTTATGACAGTAAGATTATAACTTATCTTCTGTTGTTTTGAATATATATACATATATATAGATTCTGTAACTTGTGTAGAATCTGGCAGTGATCTGTAGACAGTTGGCTAATAACTGGCGTATTATCTGTATGGAACTTGTACCTTTTAGAGAGCTTTCAAGACAATTTTTAGTTTGTATTCATAATGCTTAAATTTAAAATAACATGCTAGGATCCCCCACCCAAAACCTCTCTGTTTTTTAAATCCTCATAACAGGGCAAGAAATTCCATCCAAATGTGTTTGACTCCAGACATCATGTTAGGAAAAGGTATAGCCTTGCCAGCTATGATCTAACATAGTTTTAGCAGCTATGATTTACAAACATGTCAGGACTATGCAGTATCACTTCCATGTTTGCACACAAAGGGCTTTAGGTACATCAGTAGCGGTTCTTAGACTTTTCCTCAGCTTAGATGCTTTGGAGAGGGAGGGAATGGAAACAGATGACAGAATTCTTCATTGTTTGACAATGATCGGACAACTCCCATCCATATATCACAGCAGGGATTAACTCTGTGGTTAACTAACTATTAATTACCAGTTCAATGACCACAGTGCAGGTTAATTCCAAGCAGCAGCTGGTAAAGACTGCTTCATACAGTACATGAAAGCAAGCATGTTTTATCCATGCTTCTTGGGCCCATGTAGTCATTAATGTATGGCTGAATGCACACAGTTATCACATGCCCCCATTTTACTTGTTCCCAGCATTCTGCCTTGTAAGTGCAGCTGGCCTCTTAGGATCCTGCAGTAGCTCCTTGCTTTGTGAAACTTTGTGAATGGCTATTTGGGAGGAGATCAATTATGGGGAAATTTTGTAAACCATATTTAGATCCTCAATTAAATAAGTTTTAATTAAAAATAATTAATCTGGCTCTAAAATTGTATATAAGATCATAGTATTGCTTTACGTGAATTTTTTACATTGCTCTTTACGGATTTCTGCCAGTCCAGGTTCCAGAACTCTTAGGCTTGAGAAAAATAAAATGAACAACAGAATTTATAAGTCAGCACAATGACAAACTTCCTCTCTTCTTCCTGGTTTTTTTTTTCCATTTTTAAAAATGCCCATCTTTTGCAGGCTAATTGAGTACCTTATCCAACTAGCAAACAGCTTTGAACTTCCAACAAGTAAGTTTTGTAAAATTGCTTGAAGTGCCAGTTTCTGGTATGGAGATTCTAGGAGGATTTTGTGCATTCTTCAAGGGAATTGTGCATCTCCTACATTTGCTCAATGAATCATGCCTTCTGATATTTTTAGCTCTGGCCATCGTTTGATCATTAATCTGCCTTTACTTCATTTTTTCCTGTTTTTTTCTGGGTTGTAAAGGCCAAAACTGTAGGTCATTTGGTCTCAGCTGCTAGTGAAACTCAACTTTTGAAATGGAAAGGTGCCAGGCCTAAAATGTAGGTAGGTAGGTAGGTAGGTAGATAGATAGATAGATTAGATAGATAGATAGATAGATAGATAGATAGATAGATAGATAGATAGATATAGATAGATAGATAGATAGATAGATAGATAGATAGATAGATAGATAGATAGATAGATATGAAAGAGTCTGGCTGTAGAAACAATTGTTTTAGTTTTAACGCTATCGTTGGCCATGAGAGATAATGTGGTCCCTGTTTCAATAAAAGGACTATAAACAGCAATTTATGCTTTACGTTTAAAATAAAGCTGGTCTGTTTTTCGTTAATTTGAAATTACTTCATCTTCCCGCTGTGTCCAAGGGAGATTTGGAAAAGACAGGGAACAGGCTACAGAAGGTAAATCTTGCAGAATAATTGGTGGCTGCTAAAACTATCTCTTCCTTGTAATGCATTCACTGACTCAGGACGCTTCCTGCTGTGTCCAAAGGAGATTTGGAAAAGACAGGGAACAGGTTACAGAAGGTACGGTAAACCTTGCAGAATAATTGGTTGCTGCTAAAACTATCTCTTCATTCCTTGTAATGCATTCACTGACTCAGGACAGGATATTTAAAGCCATAAACCATCCTTGCTGGAGAATTGGCATTGTTGTAGAGACAATTCAAAGGGTCAAGCTGGGTGTAGCCCATCTCGCCCTAAAACTATAACTGAGCAATTTCCAGTTAGTTCCCCCCCCCCTCCAATTGAATATCCCTTGTCCCTGAGTATTTAATATCACAGATGAAACTTACTAGGGAGATTGTCTCCCATTACTTGAGCAGGGAAATCACAACAACTTTGGCTGGGCTTTTGAGTGGGCTGTTCTTGTAGGACCTTTAAATGCATCATGACACAAACAGATAGAAAAAGGCGGGTGGGGGTGTAAACCCTTCCATTGCCGAGGGCGGATTAGTCAGCAATCAGTTGTGCTAGACAGTTATTTGAACAAACTGACTAGCAATTAAATACAAGAATTATCTGTAATGGAAGTGGGAAAATGTGGGCTATTTAAGAAGGCTTCAGGAACCTGGAAAGTATAATAGTTTACTAGGACTTGCGCTGACCTGCTGAGTTATTTAAAAGTTGGCATTTGTTGTTTCTATGCACTGCTTCCACATGCTTGACTGCTGTGCATCTGTGCCAGCAACCCATAAATAGATGCTGCCAAGTGAGATGCAGTTCATGGTTGAGTTGTCATCAGATGTTACTGAAAAAGCAGCAAAAGACTCTTGCCTTACTCAGCTGTCTACTCATAATGTGTGTATGTGTGTGGTGTGTGTGAGAAAGTATTTTTTTTCTTGAAAAAAAAGCTATAGGCACCTGTGTCTTTTCCCATGTTAGAGGAGCAACCAGTGAAGACCATTTTGATTAGTAATGATCCACGGATAAAGGTTAATCTCTTCTGGTGTCTTCCTTCAAGTAGCTGCTTTTAGGGGTTTTTTTTTAAACGAAGAAAGTTGCATTATCAACTTTTTATGCTATCTGCCCTAAATTTGTGGCTTCTTTTTAGTTTTTTGATATGTGATGTTATTTAATCACCACAGCAGAATTGATTAGTCTTATTGTGACAACTTCACACTGGCAAATTTTTGGTTTTTCAGGATTTTGGAATAAGGGGGACATATATGAGACAACTGTAAGTTGTACTAAGATTTACATTTCAGGCTTGCTAGTAGAATATTAATGAATCACTTAGCACACTAAGT